TTTTTGTTTTTTTCAATGTTACAAAACAAAAATGACCATGTTCAAGTCTTAAAGTCATCCTGAGGCCTTAGTTTTGGTTTCAAATTACACAACATCATGTATGTGTTGCTTCTTTGGGGCTTGTTTTCATAGACCTGGTTGCTTATTTCTCTCAAATCTGGCAACAGAGTGGGCGGGGCGCAGTGTCTAATTGTAGCAGTAAGCTAACGAGTACTGATAAGCTTTATTTTGTTTTGATCCAATGCTGCACAACTGAACTGATCCAATTGTCAAAATCAAATGATCGGAATCGGATCGGGAGCAAAAAAAGGTGATCGGGACATCCCTAACTGACAGTGTATTTATGTGAGCTCCTATACCTATACTAATTGGGCTTTTCATTGAATGCTTTATAAACTAAACAGTTCAGCTTACAAATGTCATTGTGAATTGTAAAATAATATGTTATATTTGTTAAAGGTATATATATTGATAGAAAGTATTATTTGATAGCTTTATGTGTTTATATTGACTGTTGAATTTATCCTTGAGTAACAGCTTTGTATAGTGTAATTCCCCAGTTTGCAGATTTGACATTTGCCCTTTATACAGTGAGTATTACTGTTAATTGCACTATATATTATAGTAGACCTGCTTCGCTATTGCACATGTGATATTATACAGAATGTTTTCAGAAGTATAAAACTGTGTCACATAGCCTACTAGTGAGTGAGATACATGTTTAAGTTGGGAATGATGTTGCACTTGAGATACAGTAATTGACTGTGACATAGACGAATAACTTAAATTGAGAAATGTGATATGTTTGTTAAGTACAGCTATTTGTATGTAACTGTATGTGTACTTTGAATTTTGAATAAGAAGCAATCCAGATGATCAACCGGATCCTGTGTCTATTTCATGCTGCTGCACTTTTCTGTTTTCTACAGATTTCTTTATTGTTGCTGTGGTACCCAAGCTTTTGGGACCCGTAACAACTTACATATTTATCTTTAGTATTCTAAAATGATTCATTTATTTTTCATAGCGTGAAAAATACAATGGTTCAGAGTGCTTGTTGTTGCAGCTCTGGTTGAATGGGGCCGTTCCTCTGAACTGATTTGTAAGTGACTGTAACTGTCTTTTTGTCCATCTTCTCTCTACGGCTTTTAGCATCCATCCTCTCTCTGGCTGTAGAGCTTGCTTCTTCACTAGAACTTCTTTGCCGCCGCCCAAAAAAACTTCCATACTTAAAGTAGCAGCGAGGCCCGAGCCTACCCAATGTTCTCCAGCAGGCCCTGCGAAATGTGTGGGAGGAAATACAGAACAGCAGCGGGTCCAGAGCACCGTTTATATACCACAGCGGAAGCGACAAGTACGTTTTCAAGATTGTGTAGACAGAATGAACAGTTTCCGTCCACACAACTACGTAGACCTGCATCAGCGACGAGGCAATGTCCGGAAAGTTGCAAACAAAAAAGGCCACCACAACTGCACCTGGAAGAAAAAAGGAGGGCACAATTGCTCAGCTTGAAGGACATTCAAATAATATTGCAATTCATTACTATTTAATATAATATTTTGGCAAAATGCAGAATATCAAAAACATACCGTAGACAGTTCATGACATGTATAAACATCTTTATCTTTAGGTAACTTCAAGCTGATATCAACAACACTGCACATCTAGTCCAGCATCTCTGGTGCTATCTGACTGTCCAGGAAAATCAGACAAAATCTAAATGTCTCTAGGGTCACAGTGTCATACTGTATGTTTATTATTGGTTGCGAAACTTCTGGATGGTAGTTTTGATCTCATCTTAAATGAAAAAGTGTTTTTTTGTCAAGAAAAGTAAACCCAAGTCAACTGAAACCAATGCGGAGTTATGTTCAGTTCATTTATTGTCCGGTTAGTAACCAAGAACACAAGTAGTCATTAAGGGACAAGCACTCAAATCAAGCACTAGGGAGATAGATAACAAGATGTAATCATGTTCAATGGCTCACCCATTAGTTTTAGAGCCCTCTTCTCATTCAAAAGTAGCTTTCCATTCTGATGGCACTGGATGTCTCGTCTTCCTTCTGGAACTGGCCGAGTGAGACCCATGTTTCTCCTCTGACGTCCGTTCCGCCTCAGATGGAGCAGGATTAACAGATAAAGAGTACAGATGGAGACCAGTGGGATCTGGAGTTGGAGCATTGCAATGATGAATGCCTGTGGTTAGTCGATAAATTATCGACTAACCACAGGCATTCATCATTGCAATGCTCCAACTCCAGATCCCACTGGTCTCCATCTGTACTCTTTATCTGTTAATCCTGCTCCATCTGANGGTCTCCCTCGCAGTGCGGGTGCAGTGAGCCGTTTGGCCGATGCGGAGTGCACGTGCTGGGGTGTACAGTTTAACCATGTCCTGGATGTAGGAAGGGCCAGATCCATTCGCAGCATGGAAGTGGATTCTGTTATACCAGAGCAATAGTAGAAATGACCAACTAATGCAAATTATTGCGGAATAATTAATCCTCCCGAATGTTAGCAAAGCATCCTTTAGCAAGTGTTTTAAGTAAGGGATAATGGGCAGCGAGGCGGTCAGGCAACATACTACTAAAACAAACGCTTAGTTACAAACATCCAATCAGAATCAAGTATTCAACTAAGCCTTGTAGTAAATATAATCTGCTTGATTTATGTGTTGCTTCAAAATAGAAAATTGTTGTATTAGCAAAGTTCAGAAAAGTCTGTAAATCATTTGTGCCTGCATGCTGTAGCACTACTAATAACTACTATACATGACCTATGTTTAACTTACATTTTATTTACAAATGAAATGCATGCAGCTTATTTTATTTCTGTCTAACATGCCGTTTTGTCTGTCTTTCTTTTCTTTGACCAGAGACACATCACACACATATGCGATGGCGAGAGCCCTACAATTCTAACTTGTAATTCTGGCAGTTATCACTGCCTTTACTGCATATACAAGGGTGCGAAGTATCAGGTCGAAAACCACATCAGAGGCCATTCTACTGTGAAGCACGGAGGTATAACTCATTGCTCTTATTAGAATTGTCTGTTTTTGACATAATGTGCAGTGAGGAAATCATTATTCTGAATGAGATCTTAATATCTTCAAGTTTACTGATTTTACTATTGTTTCTTGTTTTCAGAGTTCACAATTGTTAAGTGTGGCTTAAGCTGCAGAAAAGCAACTCACTATCATTGTTTTCACTGCTCGGTCACAATAATTAACAGAGCCCAATTTCTACTGCATCTCAATTCACATGAGCAAAAAGCTGTTACTAAAGGGCACCCTCCTCCACCTGCCCAGCTCCTTCCAACCTCTCGCCTGCTCGCTCCTCCACCTGCCCAGCTCCCCCCAACATCTGGCCTGCTCCCTCCTCCACCTGCCCAGCTCCTTCCAACCTCTCGCCTGCTCGCTCCTCCACCTGCCCAGCTCCCCCCAACATCTGGCCTGCTCACTCCTCCACCTGCCCAGCTCCCTCCAACATCTGGCCTGCTCGCTCCTCCACCTGCCCAGCTCCTTCCAACCTCTCGCCTGCTCGCTCCTCCACCTGCCCAGCTCCTTCCAACCTCTCGCCTGCTCGCTCCTCCACCTGCCCAGCTCCTTCCAACATCTTATCTGCTCATTCCTGCATCAGCCCAGCTCCTTCCAACATCTCAGCTGCTCCTCGCTCCCTTTCACCCTGCTCCGGAAAAGCAACCCCAGGAACCTCAGGAGAAACATGAGGCCACTCAAGACCTCAAAGAACAAAGCAAGCCTAAAAAGAAACTTGTAACTTGTCCCCACTGCTCACTGAAGTTAAATAAGAACAATTATAAAACACATGTACGTCGAAAGCACAAAACAGTCTCCAAGGAAAATGTAAGAAAGGAAAAGAGCAAATAAAAACATTGTTGACGATTTGAAGGTGGGACATTTATGAGGGGCAGTAATGGTCGACTGCACAAAAATACCACCACCTGTTCATTTGTAGGATCTGACTTGTTTTTGTTATTATAATTATTATTATGTTGTTCATTTCATTTGCAATAAACATTTTTTATGTAAAAAACAAATGAAGCTGCCCCTCCACTAAAGAGCTTCCCCCCACCAACTGCCCCCCTAACTTTTTGGTTTTTAAAACTGTTATGAGTACATCGAAACACCACTATGAAACCACCTTCTCAAACCATTATAATAAGTAATACATTGACCTATTTTTATTTAAGAGTAACCTAAAGCCCCTAAAACATTTTTCTACAGCCCTGCATCATGCGCGCGCAGCGTAGCGTAGCTGCACACACCATGGTACACACAGACTCCGGGTGACAGCTGCAAATCACACCCCATATGCAGCAGCAGCAGAGAGCAGCGACTGAGCTATTCCCAGCATCTGAAGGTGACGTCCGTTACCCTTCGGAACATTTTGTCCTTGTATTGATTTAAGTAAATGCATGTAATACACACTATTAAAAACGGCGTGTTTGTATTCCTACCGTTTAACGGACGGTCGCCTTTTCATGCCGTTTCGTTATAGCCAACACACTACACAGTGACAGTGCTAGCTAGGTGATCGATAATTTTTATTTTGTTAGCTAAGCAGTTTAAAATATACTTAGGTTACCCTTACATGTCAAAGCAATGAATTAACAAATTTAAACAAGTTACATCCCGAATGTTTACCGCATAGACTATAAATAGATGTGCACTATCAAACTGAGAAATTACAATTTGAGTCTGAACTCAAAGATTTTTATTTTTCTGATTTAATTTAAGTTTATTGAATTTCTAAATGCCCAGACAGTGTAATGTATTACGAGGATGTTGACCAGTGCTTCACATATTGACTTTTGCAGGCCAGAGTACCTGGAGTTGTTCGACTAAAAATGAAAAGAAAAGGGAATATTGCTTATCTTTTTAGCACAAAAGGCCAGAGAACTGAAAATGAGGACGAGAGAGGGAAATGAAAAAGGAAAGGAGAGTACACTGGAGAGACCAGGAGGGTCAGAACATAAGAAGGCCACTGATTCTGAAGGAGATGAAGATATGGATAGAGAGGAAGTGGATGTGAGAAATGAAAAAGAGGGTTCAGACCGATATATACAGTCTATGGTTCAGACCATAGACTGTATAAGGTTCAGACTCAGAAAGAGGGACAGAGGCAGGAAGTGAGAAGGAGGCTGAGGCAGAGGGCAGGGAGGCAGTTAGGTGGACCACATGGTATGTTTTTATTCCCCATCCATTACAGTTTCATAGCAAGGCATGTCACTCACATACAACGTCATGTAAAATAATATGTTAATTTCTACTTTCTGTTTTATGTGTTATATAGGATTATTTGTGTAAAGATTTGCAAATGCATTTTATTGTATTAGTGATTATGATCAAACCAAAGATATAAAACAAATGCTATGGGTACTACTTGTATTTTGCCTGCCGTTTTATATTTTCTTTCGAGAAATTATTGTAATTCTTGTATTATTTTCATTTTGCTGAAACTTTTATGTTTTAAAATATGCACAGTCTTGTTTTGTTTGATCACTGGGCATGTTACTTTTGTGATACTATAACAATACATAGTTTAAATGTACATTTGTGTTTTAATGTTTTGTGGTGGATTCATCGATCCTCCCATGCCCTCCTGCCAAAACCTCTTGCCACCCCATGTAAAATTATCTAGTTCCGCCACTGATACTAGTATACTGCTCCCATCTTTTGAACCGACTGTTTACATTGGAAACAACCTTATTATCATGTCATTGTTTGTTAAATAACCATAGCTTAAGATGTTTTAACTCTCAATTTAGCATTGATTAATGATCGTTTTTCAAATGTTACTCATGTTTATTATTTTTGTAAAATACCAAATTGCATAATTGTTGTCTTCTAAGTATTTCTTCATCTTCAAGCTTTGTTCATCAGTGGGCCTTTCCCTGAACAAAACTTCTCCCAGCCTTGGCTAAAGTCCCTTTGAATAAGCTGCACTTCAGTAATGCACAGCAAACATTTGGACTGATCTGACTCCAATAGCTGATTATTACACAATGTCATGCATTAGCACCATAGTTGTAAATCAACTTCAGCACAGTCATTGCTCCTTGTGATGTGTGGGATATCTTCCCTCGTCACATGGCTATCCTTGGGACTAAGCACACAATGAGTCAGCTATATTATAACCATCTAGTGTTATCAAACATTTAATCATTAACCAAGACATTGTCAGTAATCTGTTTTTAGGATCATCACAGTCAGTGAAATACGTTGAACACACAATCTTTGGTAAAGGTACTAATAAAAATGTCATTTCCAGCAATCTAAATTATTTACTTTACTGCACAATACTTCTTAACTTTAGAGTACTTGTGTCGTGCTGAGTATCAAGGTGACGATTTTGTATTTTAGGGATGTTTATCAAAATGTTAGTTTGTTAGAAATGTACATTCTAAAGCTTAGAGTGATTAGAGGCTGGAGGACAGGCACATGTGGTTTTAGCTTCAACAACGCAATACTGTTACATTTGATTCATGTGATTATCCTTCTTATTCCACTCATAGGCCAGAGACTCACACATGCACACCATCAGCAATACTCTTGGTTTTCGGTGTTTTTTGTTTAACTGGTGTCTGGTAGCAATTTACCTCTGGAATTTTCTTTCAAAAAAACAGCCCAACATTTACAGCGCAAAAAGAAAACCAAGATCTTTCGCACAGAACCACAAAAGTTTTGCTGGCTTTTTAAAAATCATGATGGCCTTTAACTAATATGATGTGACCTGAAAAACTGTCCTTCCAGAGAAAGTGAAGGCATGCAGAGAATAAAGTGGAAACACAACAGGAAAAGGAGTCTAATGAGCTCCCTCCCTCCCCTTTCCTAAACACACTTCCTTTTTTGGTGGTCCATCCCCCTTACACAAGGAAAACAGAACAGAAATACTTGTGTAATACTTTTTTTCTCTCTTACATACAGTCTTTTGCCTGAAATGTTGAACTTTAGACACATCTGAATGTAGAAGTGTCTGGGTTCTGGAGCAAAGCAACATTAACTGAATGAATTTGACTGCAGTTGTTTAGTTTTCGTATATACTCAACAGGAGGATTGCATGTGTGGACTTGTTGCTGACATCAAAGAAGGCAGCGTGGACTGCTGGAGGACAACCATCAAAGCTCA